GTGTGTTTGTGTTGGTCCTGAGGCTTGAACTCTGGGCCTGAGTGCTGTCCCTGAGCTCTTCAGCTCAAGGCTAGCGCTCTGCCACTTGAGCCACAGCACCACTTCTGGTTTTCTGGTGGTGAATTGAAGGTAAGAGTCTTGTGGACTTTCCTGCCCAGGCTGGCTTTGAACCTCCATTCTCAATTCTCAGCCTCCTGAGTACCTAGGATTACAGGTGTGAGCCACTGACACGTAGTACATTTTTTTTATCTTTAACGTTGCATGGCCATTGAATGCATGCTGTAAGGTATTCAAAGGATGGTTCTATCAGATGACCTGTAGTCCCTATCCTACCTGCCAAGTAAGGGAACCAAATGCATATATCTCAATGACTTACTACAGTACCATTTGATCAAGGAAATGATTTGGTTCAAGCACTGGAGGAGGGTTAGCTGTAATGGATCTATTCTTAGAAGTATGTAGTGACTGGTGGCTACCCAAGCAAGCAGTGGAAACATTTGATACCATCTCCCTTTCTTTATCCTAAACTCAGAATTAATTGTATGTCTACTTTGTATAGTCGATAACTTATTTATAAGGACATTTCTTTACTTGCTTAGTTTTTATCTAGAATCTAAAAATTACATGATGGCAGCTTGTACAGAACTGGTACTTATCCGATGATAAGTACTAATGTGTGGATGGGATATAGTTGATGCACACAAACATGTGCTTTCTTTCCCAAAGCTCCATCCTTATAATGGCTTGGATTTTATTTGCATTGAAATATGTTTTGAAATTTTAAGTGTATGTTCTGTTCTGCTTGCTTTGGTTTGTGGCTTTTAAAAAATATAATGATGTATAAAAAGTACCAACAGCACTCTCTAAAGATGTAGAATAATTTTTTAAGATCCAGAATAATTTCTGTAGTGATCATTTGAAAATTGTGAAAATTCTGGCCTTTCTAAGAATCGATTTAATTATATTCTAGCACAGCAACTTCTCTGGGGATATTCAGGTAGGATGATTAATTGAATGTTGTGAACATTTGAAGCCTGATGGTTTTTGTTCATTTGGTTTGTTCAATCTTGTTTTTTAATTTATGTAAGTAACTAGAAATTATCTATATCAATTTTTTTTGGTCTGGTAGTAATAGCTATTAAAGGAGAGAGGAAATTACTAATACAGGTATTTGTTGCTGCAAATACTATTAACAAAAATATTCATTTCATAGAATGTTTAATCTCAAATGAAAGAAGCATGCACCATTTGTATTTTAAGTTAGGTATTTAGGAAAGTGTGACTGTAAATTCACCTTTGGTATATGATACCTAAATATTCAGATGAAAGGGTCAGAGGGCTATGGATTCTGGGACCTACCTGGGAGGCCTCATGGAGAACTGTTGGGAGTGTGGTTCAGTGCTGAGGCTGGTAAGTGCAGGGAAACACTATTAAGGAAGAAAGTGAAATGGCCATCAGCTTTTCATTAAAGATCCATTGTCTGCTGTTTGTTTTCATATTTTACTAATTACCTTTTCTTCTTTTTTTATATAAAAACATGTTTTACAAAAGGTTAATTTGTAGTTTTATTTTCCCCAATTCATGTTTCACTTGGAAATTTAGAGGATGCAAAATTTGCTTTAAGAAATTTTTGTTCTTTGAAGCATGCTCTACATATCTAAAGTTAGTTTAGAAACCAAGTTATTATTTTACTTATATTTAGTATTGCATTTTATATTTATACAAATATAAAATTTGGTTTCTAGCTTATATTAAAAGTACTTATACACAGCTACATTACAATTATTTTCCCTCAATGTGTATTATATATATTTTGGAAAGTGTAGTCAAATCAGGGGAAAGCAAAATCTGGTCGGTGGGCTGTTTACTTACCATCTGCCTTAGGGTTTGTGCTTCCCTGTTGTTGTACCTCCCAAATCAAGATCAGAGTGTTGGTGCTGACCATTGGGGAAGCAGTTTAGCCACTGGGGTTTATTTTGAGTCACCTTGGCTTGCCTGCTCCACATGAGAACAGGGTATTCCAGCTAGGCAATGTAGCTGCAGCACCACTGCTGGATTTGCGGTATGGAAGCTGTTTTAGTTGGCAGTCAGGCCGCCTTTCTTCCTTTTCCTCTTTTCTTTTGCCCTAATTTTTTGTCATTTTTTCTTTTTTATTTCTTTGAAGATTAGATGGATTCATAGTACATCTGTCTTATTATATTCACTGTATCATGTAGGTATTTACAAAGAGATTTGAATCTCCTTCACAGTGAAACATTATTAGAACTTCCAGCCATCAAAGCTGCTCTGGCCACTTTGTGTACGCAAAGAATATATAAAGAACCATTGCTGTATTTGGAGCGTTGGGTCAGCATTAGCTATTTAGGAAACTAAAGGAATCTGGTCAAAAATAGTAACTCCCACTTAATTAAAAGATTCAGGACTGGCTTTTCTTGGTTATGTAAACTTTAAGTAGACTATAATTCTAGCCATGTTGACCTCATCCTTAAATTTTGCACTGAACAAAATCATATACATAAATATAAACAAAAAGTGTAATCTCTGAACAGATTCATTATTGAAAACTACTGTTTCAACATCCAGGGTACTATTGACTCATCTTTAATAAAGCAAAACTACTCACAGGAAGAGGCCCTTTCAACTTAAATGATTTTACCTAATCACAGTTTAGATAAAGCCTTTCTGTTCCAGAAACAATTTTATTACCATAGTTAATCTTTTCTGACATTTTAATTTTTAAGGCTGTAACCCTAAAAGTCATTTGTTAAAATGTCTAAAATTATTTTTGCTGATCCTATTAAAGGTGCTCTATGCTTTCTAACCCAGAACATGGAAACTTTGTTCTGTGTTAACATTTATATGGGAGATAAAAGCTAAGCATCCTTAATACCTTGTAAATAGAACACAGAAGTTCAGATTGAGACAGTTACTACAGTTAGAATTATTACATTTTCTCTCTCCTTTATTTTCTGTCATATGCTTTCAGTTGAGCATGACTGGTGGGCTAGTTGCATGCTGTAATGTAGTATGTGTGTGTATATGTGTGTGTGTGACTTGGCACTTTATTTGCATATTAATATCAGTCAATTTTTTTCATTCAGAGATATATTTTGTAAAATACCAAATTTAATGAAGGGCATCAGGCAGGATTATTTACAGAATGCATGTCTTACGGTAACTTAGCACAGAACATAAAATGATATTAACTTTTTGTTTTCTGGGTGTTGTGATTTAATTTCTAACTTACTTTCCAAATGATTTGGTTCTTTCATTGTAGTTGTTATTTTTAAGAACATTAAAATTGTATTTTAATAGGATTTATGGAACAAAGGCACTACACTGATTATATTGCTGGCAAGTTATAATTTTTTTAAGATATTACTGCTTGAATTTCTTTAAATTACAGAAAGTGGAAAAGTGCTAATATTGTGAATCTAGTTATTATCACCTTCCTAAAGTCATGGAAGTTTACCCTTGCTTTAATTTCTTCTTGTTGAGATATAACACATAATTTCTTGGTAAAAGGTAAGTCACCTTCCTAATGTGTATGTAGGCCTTTGAAATAAGCTGTCCTCTCTTGACTGAAAAGTAATGATATGCAAAAGTTCCAAGAGCCTGAGGTTTGCCCTGTGGTACAGTGTTTTCCAAAGTTGGCTCTTTTAAGGGTCTAGAAATCATTGTACATAGGGAAAAATGTATTAGTTTCCTCAGTGTTGAGTTTGAGATGCTTTTGTTTCCCTGTCTGGACAGATACATTTCTATAGGTATGTATTCTTATGTTTTTATCTTGTTTCTATTGAAGTTATAAAATTTTAATGATTTTTTTGCTTGAAGCACAAAATCCACTTTGAAAGGAAATGTTAATTTCTAGACCAGTGGTTAAAATAAGCAAAACCTCCCCATCAACAATGAAATCAAGACCAGTCTTTTAGTTTACAAATGTCCAGCAGTAGAGGAGAGCCATGGGTTATGGAAGTGGCTCATTTTTTCCCTTTGCCTGCCCTAAAGCATTTCTGAAAACTCTAAGGCTCTGCTCGACATACAGTAGTAGTAAGGGGTACAAGCCACATTAGAAAAGTGGTAATAATGATTCCATATTTGGCTTGTGTATTATACTGAGAACAGTTCATCCTCACTGGAGTTCAACCTCCAAAAAGATTAAATGACACCTAATTACACATTGGTTAGTGTTTGAAGGGAAACTAAGATTTCTTGTTGTCCCAGCTTTGAAAAGTATCAGTCACTGAAGCAGAGACTCTAGTCTCTGTGGTCTGACTTCACCCTCTTCTCTTCCAGTCCACAGATCTAGTCCGTCCTAGGTACATGAAGTAACACAAAAGCACATTACTGGGTTTGCTTATCAATTCTTATCCTTTAAGGTTAAAATACTTTTACAGATGTCATCTGCATTCTCTGTGGTATAACTTTTATTTCTGGACATGCGGATAAAATTGTAGATAAAATTTATAGAATGCTTTGAAAAACACATTTAAAACTTGGCCGTGGTGTTTCAAGCCAAGAGTTACTAGCTGCTTAAGAGGCTGAAATCTGGAGAATCTGATTCAAGGCTGGCCAGAGCAGAAAAATCTGCTACACTCCCTGCAAAAAGCAGGGCTGGAGATGTAGCTCAGGTGGTAAAGTGCCAGCCAAGCAAGCATTGAGGCTCTGGGTTTAGCACTTTTATAGAGAATTTGTCCCATAAGCTATTGTAAGTATGGATTTTTAAAATCATTTAAAAATTGCTGTAGGCAAGCTATGTTGAATTTATTAAAATAAAATGTTTAATTTGGAGGGATGGCTCAAAGGGTAGAGCACTACCCTAGCAAGCACAAGGCTCAGGGTTCAAATCTCAGTACTGCCCCAAACAAAAACCTGAATGAATGAATAAAATACCTATTTAAAATTTTGAAGATAGCTTTGTAGTATTGTAGTGTCTGTGAGAACAGAGGATTATTACAGTGAAATTATATATTCATCACATTTTTGTGTATTGTTTACAGGAAGACCATGTACTCAACTGCAGCTTCTCAATCCAGAGAGATTTGCACGTCTTATTAAAGAAGTAATGAATGCATTCTGGCCTGGCAGAGACTTGATTGTTCAGTGGTATCCAGTCAATGAAGAGAAGCATCATCCACCTGTTTCATGGCTTAAGATGGTTTGGAAGAATCTCTATATTCATTTTTCAGAGGATTTGACACTATTTGATGAGATGCCTCTTATCCCCAGAACTACACTAGATGAAGGTCAGACATGTGTGGAACTCCTTAGACTCAGGATCCCATCAGTAGTCATTTTAGATGATGAAACTGAAGCACAGCTTCCAGAATTTTTAGCAGACATTGTACAAAAACTTGGAGGAATTGTCTTGAAAAAATTAGATGCCTCTATACAGCACCCACTCATTAAAAAGTATGTCCACTCACCGTTACCAAGTGCTATTTTACAGATAATGGAAAAGATACCATTGCAGAAATTGTGTAATCAAATTGCTTCACTACTTCCAACACACAAAGATGCTTTGAGGAAGTTCTTGGCTAGCTTAACAGATAGCAGTGAAAAGGAGAAAAGAATAATTCAAGAATTGACCATATTCAAGCGAATTAACCACTCATCTGATCAGGGAATTTCTTCTTACACCAAACTGAAAGGTTGCAAAGTCTTACACCATACTGCCAAACTTCCACCGGAGCTACGGCTTTCAATTTCAGTAATAGACTGTAGTGATGAAGCCACCTTTCGCTTGGCAAACATGTTAAAAATTGAGAAACTAAAGACGACTAGCTGTTTAAAACTTGCTTTAAAAGATATCGAGAGTGCATTTTATTCACATGAAGAGGTAACACACCTTATGTTATGGATCCTTGAGAACCTAGCTTCTCTTAAAAATGAGAATCCAAATGTACTTGATTGGTTAATGCCATTAAAATTCATTCCAACTTCACAAGAACGGATGGTATCAGCTAATGAACTCTTTGATCCTGATATAGAAATCCTAAAGGATCTCTTTTACAAAGAAGAAGAAACCTGCTTTCCACCTGCAGACTTTACCTCACCAGATATCCTGCACTCTTTGAGACAGATTGGTTTAAAAAACGAGTCTAATCTCAAAGAGAATGATGTCATGCAAGTGGCAAAAAAAATTGAAGCTTTACTGACCAGTTCTTGTTCAAATCAAGATGTGCTGAAGAAAGCCAAAACACTTTTATTGATTTTAAATAAGAATCATTCACTCTTGCAGTCTTCTGAAGGAAAAGTGACACTAAAGAAAATAAAATGGGTCCCAGCCTGCAAGGACAGGCCTCCAAATTATCCAGGGTCTTTAGTCTGGAAAGGAGATCTCTGTGATCTTTGTGCACCTCCAGATATGTGCGATGTGGCCCATGCAATCCTAGTTGGCTCATCACTTCCTCTTGTTGAGAGTATCAGTGTAAACTTGGAAAAAACATTAGGGATCTTCACCAAACCTAGCATTGGTGCTGTCTTGAAACACTTTAAAACTGTTGTTGACTGGTATACTTCAAAAACCTTTAGTGATGAAGACTACTATCAATTCCAACATATTTTGCTTGAAATTTACGGATTCATGCATGATCATTTGAATGAAGGGAAAGATTCTTTTCAGGCCTTAAAATTTCCATGGGTTTGGACTGGTAAAAAATTTTGTCCTCTTGCCCAAGCTGTGATAAAACCAATCCATGATCTGGACCTCCAGCCTTATTTACATAACGTGCCTAAAACCATGGCAAAATTTCACCAGCTGTTTAAGGCGTGTGGCTCAATAGAAGAATTGACATCAGATCATATTTCCATGGTCATTCAGAAGGTGTATCTCAAAAGTGATCAAGATCTCAGTGAACAAGAAAGCAAACAAAATCTTCATCTCATGTTGAATATTATCAGATGGCTGTATAGCAATCAAATTCCAGCAAGCCCCAATACACCAGTTCCTATACATCACAGCAAAAATCCTACTAAACTTATCATGAAGCCAATTCATGAATGCTGTTATTGTGACATCAAAGTTGATGACCTCAATGACTTGCTTGAAGATTCCGTGGAACCAATCATTTTGGTGCATGAGGACATACCCATGAAAACTGCAGAATGGCTGAAAGTACCTTGCCTCAGCACAAGATTGATCAATCCTGAAAACATGGGATTTGAGCAGTCCGGACAAAGAGAACCACTTACTGTAAGAATTAAGAACATTCTGGAAGAATATCCTTCTGTGTCAGATATTTTTAAAGAGCTCCTTCAAAATGCTGATGATGCAAATGCAACAGAATGCAGTTTTATGATTGATATGAGAAGAAACATGGACATAAGAGAGAATCTTCTGGACCCAGGGATGGCAGCTTGCCATGGACCTGCTTTGTGGTCATTCAATAATTCAGAGTTCTCAGATTCAGATTTTGTGAATATAACCAGGCTAGGAGAATCTTTAAAAAGAAGTGAAGTGGATAAAGTTGGAAAGTTTGGTCTTGGGTTTAATTCTGTGTACCACATCACTGACATTCCCATCATCATGAGCCGAGAATTCATGATAATGTTTGATCCGAACATAAACCATATCAGTAAGCACATTAAAGATAAATCTAATCCTGGGATCAAGATTAACTGGAGTAAGCAACAGAAAAGGCTTAGGAAATTTCCTAATCAGTTCAAGCCATTTATTGATGTATTTGGCTGTCAGTTACCTTTGACTGTAGAAACACCTTATAGCTACAGTGGGACTCTTTTCCGACTGTCCTTTAGAACCCAACAGGAAGCAAAAGTGAGTGAGGTTAGCAGTACCTGCTATAATACAGCAGATATTTACTCCCTTGTGGATGAGTTTAGTCTCTGTGGACACAGGCTTATCATTTTCACTCAAAGTGTTAACTCGATGTATTTGAAGTACTTGAAGATTGAGGAAACCAATCCCAGCTTAGCACAAGATACAATAATAATTAAGAAAAAATCCTGTTCCTCCAAAGCTTTGAGTGTCTCTTCTTTGAGTGTATTAAAAGAAGCTGCCAAGCTCATGAAGACTTGTAGCAACAGTAATAAAAAACTTCCCACCGATGCACCCAAGTCATCTTGCATCCTTCAGATCACAGTAGAGGAATTTCACCATGTGTTCAGAAGGATTGCTGATTTACAGTCACCACTGTTCAGAGGTCCAGATGATGACCCAGCTGCTCTCTTTGAAATGGCTAAGTCTAGCCAATCAAAAAAGCCATCGGATGAATTGCCACAGAAAACTGTAGATTCTACCACATGGCTTATTTGCACCTGTATGGACACAGGAGAGGCACTTAAATTTTCTCTGAATGAAAGTGGAAGAAGGCTGGGGCTGGTTCCTTGTGGGGCTATAGGGGTTCTGCTGTCTGAAATCCAGGACCAGAAGTGGACTGTGAAACCACACATTGGAGAGGTGTTCTGCTACTTACCTTTACGAATAAAAACAGGGCTGCCAGTTCACATCAATGGATGCTTTGCTGTGACTTCCAATAGAAAAGAAATCTGGAAGACTGATACAAAAGGACGATGGAATACCACCTTCATGAGACATGTTATTGTGAAAGCTTATCTGCAGGCACTCAGTGTCTTGCGGGACCTGGCCATTGCAGGGGAACTAACTGATTATACCTACTATACTGCCTGGCCTGATCCTGATTTAGTTCATGATGATTTCTCTGTGATTTGTCAAGGATTTTATGAAGATATAGCTCATGGAAAAGGGAAGGATTTGACCAAAGTTTTCTCTGATGGATCCACATGGGTTTCCATGAAAAATGTGAGATTTCTAGATGATTCTATACTTAAAAGGAAAGATGTTGGCCCAGCAGCCTTCAAGATATTTCTGAAATATCTTAAGAAGACTGGCTCCAAAAACCTTTGTGCTGTTGAACTTCCTTCTTCAGTGAAACTAGGGTTTGAAGAGGCTGGGTGCAAACAGATACTGCTTGAAAATACATTTTCAGAGAAACAGTTTTTTTCAGAAGTGTTTTTTCCAAATATTCAAGAAATTGAAGCAGAACTTAGAGATCCTTTAATGAACTATGTTTTAAATGAAAAACTTGATGAGTTCTCTGGGATTCTTCGAGTTACTCCATGTATTCCTTGCTCCTTGGAGGGGCATCCTTTAGTTTTACCATCAAGACTGATCCACCCTGAGGGACGAGTTGCAAAGTTATTTGACACTAAAGATGGACGGTTTCCTTATGGTTCTGCTCAGGACTACCTGAATCCTATTATTTTAATTAAGCTAGTTCAATTAGGCATGGCAAAAGATGATATTTTATGGGATGATATGCTAGAACGTGCAGAGTCAGTTGCTGAAATTAATAAAAGCGACCATGTTGCTGCTTGTCTCAGAAGTAGTATCCTATTAAGTCTTATTGATGAGAAACTAAAAATAAGGGATCCTAGAGCAAAGGACTTTGCTGCAAGATACCAAACAATCCCCTTTCTTCCATTTCTAACAAAGCCAGCAGGATTCTCTCTGGAATGGAAAGGTAACAGTTTTAAGCCTGAAACCATGTTTGCAGCAACTGACCTTTATATAGCTGAACATCAAGATATAGTTTGTCTTTTGCAACCGATTCTCAATGAAAACTCCCATTCCTTCAGAGGTTGTGGTTCAGTGTCACTGGCTGTTAAGGAGTTTTTGGGATTACTAAAGAAGCCAACAGTTGATCTGGTTATAAACCAGTTGAAACAAGTTGCAAAGTCTGTGGATGATGGAATTACATTGTACCAGGAGAATATCACCAATGCTTGCTATAAATATCTTCATGAAGCAATGACACAAAATGAAGTAATGAAGACAGCAGTTGTTGAGAAGTTAAAACCCTTTAGTTTCATCCTGGTTGAGAATGCCTATGTTGACTCAGGAAAAGTTTCTTTTCATTTGAATTTTGATGCAGCACCATACCTTTACCAATTACCTAACAAGTATAAAAACAATTTCCGTGAACTGTTTGAAAGTGTGGGTGTGAGACAGTCATTTACTGTTGAGGACTTTGCCCTTGTTTTAGAATCAATTGATCAAGAAAGAGGAAAAAAACAAATAACAGAAGAGAATTTTCAGCTTTGCCGACGAATAATCAGTGAAGGAATATGGAGTCTCATTAGAGAAAAGAAACAAGAATTTTGTGAGAAAAACTATGGCAAAATATTATTGCCAGATACTAATCTTATACTTCTCCCTGCCAAATCACTATGTTACAATGATTGTCCCTGGATAAAAGTGAAGGATAGCACTGTAAAATATTGTCATGCTGATATACCCAGGGAAGTAGCTGTAAAACTAGGAGCAGTACCGAAGAGACATAAAGCATTAGAAAGGTATGCATCCAACATCTGTTTTACAACACTCGGCACAGAATTTGGCCAGAAAGAGAAATTGACCAGCAGAATTAAGAGCATCCTCAATGCCTATCCTTCAGAAAAGGAAATGCTGAAAGAGCTTCTGCAAAATGCAGACGATGCGAAGGCCACAGAAATCTGCTTTGTGTTTGATCCTCGTCAGCATCCAGTTGATAGAATCTTTGATGATAAGTGGGCTCCATTGCAAGGGCCAGCCCTTTGTGTGTACAACAACCAGCCTTTTACAGAAGATGATGTGAGAGGAATTCAGAATCTTGGAAAGGGTACCAAAGAAGGGAATCCTTGCAAAACTGGACAGTATGGAATAGGATTCAATTCTGTGTATCATATTACGGACTGTCCTTCTTTTATTTCTGGCAATGACATCCTTTGTATCTTTGATCCTCACGCCAGATATGCACCAGGAGCAACATCTGTTAGCCCTGGACGCATGTTTAGAGATTTGGATGCCGACTTTAGGACCCAGTTCTCAGATGTTCTTGATCTTTACTTGGGAAATCACTTTAAACTGGATAATTGTACAATGTTTAGATTTCCTCTTCGCAATGCAGAAATGGCAAAAGTGTCAGAGATTTCCTCTGTTCCATCATCAGACAGAATGGTCCAGAATCTTTTGGATAAACTGCGCTCAGATGGGGCAGAACTTCTAATGTTTCTTAATCACATGGAGAAAATTTCCATTTGTGAAATAGACAAGACTACAGGTGGTCTAAATGTGCTTTATTCAGTAAAGGGCAAGATTACAGATGGAGACAGATTGAAAAGGAAGCAATTTCATGCATCTGTAATTGACAGTGTTTCTAAAAAAAGGCAACTCAAAGACATACCAGTTCAACAGATAACTTACACTATGGACACTGAGGACTCTGAAGGAAATCTGACCACATGGCTAATTTGCAATAGATCAGGATTTTCAAGTATTGACAAAGTATCCAAAAGTGTTATATCAGCTCACAAGAACCAAGATATCACTCTCTTTCCACGTGGTGGAGTAGCTGCCTGCATTACTCACAACTATAAAAAGCCCCACAGAGCCTTCTGCTTTTTGCCCCTTTCTTTGGAGACGGGGTTGCCATTTCATGTAAATGGCCACTTTGCCCTTGATTCAGCCAGAAGAAACCTGTGGCGTGATGATAATGGAGTTGGAGTTCGAAGTGACTGGAACAACAGCTTGATGACAGCATTAATAGCGCCAGCATATGTTGAATTACTAATCCAGTTAAAAAAGCGGTACTTCCCTGGTTCTGACCCAACATTATCAGTTTTACAAAACACACCTATTCATGTTGTAAAGGATACTTTAAAGAAGTTTCTTTCCTTTTTCCCAGTTAACAGGCTTGATCTGCAGCCAGATTTATATTGCTTAGTGAAAGCACTGTATAGTTGTATTCATGAAGACATGAAGCGTCTTTTGCCTGTTGTTCGGGCTCCAAATATTGATGGTTCTGATTTACACTCTGCAGTCATAATTACTTGGATTAATATGTCAACTCTAAATAAAACCAGACCATTTTTTGACAATTTGCTACAGGACGAATTGCAGCACCTTAAAAATGCAGATTATAATATTACAACTCGTAAAACAGTAGCAGAGAATGTCTACAGACTGAAACACCTGCTTTTGGAGATTGGCTTCAACTTAGTTTATAACTGTGACGAAACTGCTAATCTTTACCACTGCCTTATAGATGCAGACATTCCTGTTAGTTATGTAACTCCTGCTGATGTTAGATCCTTTTTAATGACATTCTCCTCTCCTGATACTAACTGCCATATTGGGAAACTCCCTTGTCGTCTTCAGCAGACTAACCTCAAGCTTTTTCATAGTTTAAAACTTCTAGTTGACTATTGTTTCAAAGACGCAGAAGAAAATGAGTTTGAAGTTGAGGGACTGCCTCTTCTCATCACGTTGGACAGTGTTTTACAGACTTTTGATGCCAAACGACCCAAATTTCTAACAACCTACCACGAATTGATTCCATCCCGCAAAGACTTGTTTATGAACACGTTATATTTGAAATACAGTACTATTTTATTGAGTGGTAAGGTGGCGAAAGTGTTTGACATTTCCAGCTTTGCTGACTTGCTATCTTCTGTGTTGCCTCGTGAATATAAGACCAAGAGTTGTACAAAATGGAAGGACAATTTTGCAAGTGAATCTTGGCTTAAGAATGCATGGCATTTTATCAGTGAGTCTGTAAGTATGAAAGAAGATCAGGAAGAAACAAAGCCAACGTTTGACATCGTGGTTGAGACTCTCAAGGACTGGGCCCTGCTCCCAGGAACAAAGTTTACTGTTTCAGCCAATCACCTGGTGGTTCCTGAAGGGGATGTTCTGCTTCCTTTAAGCCTTATGCACATTGCAGTTTTTCCCAATGCCCAGAGTGATAAAGTTTTTCATGCTCTAATGAAAGCTGGCTGCATTCAGCTTGCTTTGAACAAAATCTGCTCCAAAGACAGTGTGTTTGTTCCTCTGTTGTCATGTCACACGGCCAACATAGAGAGCCCCACCAGCATATTGAAAGCTGTACATTACATGGTGCAGACTTCAACCTTTAGAGCTGAAAAGCTGGTGGAAAGTGACTTTGAAGCCCTTCTTATGTATTTCAACTGCAATTTGAGTCACTTGATGTCCCAAGACGACATAAAAATTTTAAAGTCACTTCCATGTTACAAATCCATCAGTGGGCGCTATATGAGCATTGCCAAATTTGGAACATGCTATGTACTGACAAAAAGTATCCCTTCAACTGAAGTGGACAAATGGACACAATCATCATCATCTGCATTTCTTGAAGAAAAAACACATTTAAAGGAACTGTATGAGGTGCTCGGTTGTGTGCCTATGGATGATCTTGAAGTGTATTTGAAACACCTCTTACCAAAAATTGAAAACCTCTCTTACGATGCAAAATTAGAGCACTTGATCTATCTAAAGAGTAGATTATCAAACATTGAGGAATTGTCTGAGATTAAGGAACAACTGTTTGAAAAACTAGAAAGTTTACTGATTATCCACGATGCCAACAGTCGGCTAAAGCAGGCGAAGCATTTCTATGACCGAAGTGTGAGGGTGTTTGAAGTTATGCTTCCTGAAAAATTGTTTATTCCTAAGGACTTCTTTAAAAAATTGGAACAACTTATAAAGCCTAAGAATCAAGTTGCATTTATGACATCCTGGATAGAGTTCTTAAGAAATATTGGACTAAAATATATACTTTCTCAGCAACAGTTGTTGCAGTTTGCTAAGGAAATCAGTGTGAGAGCTAATACAGAAAACTGGTCTAAAGAAACATTGCAAAATACAGTTGACATCCTTCTCCATCACATATTCCAAGAACGAATGGATCTATTGTCTGGAAATTTTCTGAAAGAACTGTCCTTGATACCATTCTTATGTCCCGAGCGAGCCCCTGCTGAGTACATCAGATTTCATCCTCAATACCAAGAGGTAAATGGAACACTCCCTCTCATCAAGTTCAATGGAGCACAAGTAAATCCAAAATTTAAACAGTGTGATGTGCTCCAGCTCTTGTGGACATCCTGCCCTATTCTTCCAGAGAAAGCCACACCCTTGAGTATCAAAGAACAGGAAGGCAGTGACCTGGGTCCACAGGAACAGCTTGAACAAGTTTTGAATATGCTTAATGTTAACCTGGATCCCCCTCTGGATAAAGTCATTAATAACTGCAGAAACATCTGTAACATAACAACTTTGGATGAAGAAATGGTAAAAACGAGAGCAAAAGTCCTGCGGAGCATATATGAATTTCTCAGTGCAGAAAAAAGGGAGTTCCGGTTCCAGCTTCGAGGTGTGGCCTTTGTGATGGTAGAAGAAGGTTGGAAACTTCTGAAGCCTGAGGAGGTGGTGATAAATCTGGAATATGAATCGGATTTTAAGCCTTATCTGTACAAGCTGCCTTTAGAGCTTGGCACATTTCATCAGCTGTTCAAACTCTTAGGTACTGAAGACATAATTTCAACTAAACAGTATGTTGAAGTGTTAAGCCGCATATTCAAGAACTCTGAAGGGAAGCAGTTGGATCCTAATGAAATGCGTACAGTCAAGAGAGTGGTTTCTGGTCTGTTCAAGAGTCTGCAGAATGACTCAGTCAAGGTAAGGGGTGATCTTGAGAATGCCCGTGACCTCGTGCTCTACCTTCCAAGCCAGGATGGTAGGCTGGTTAAATCTAGCATCTTAGTGTTTGATGATGCACCACATTACAAAAGTAGAATCCAGGGGAATATTGGTGTGCAAATGCTTGTTGACCTCAGCCAGTGCTACTTAGGGAAAGACCATGGATTTCATACGAAGCTGATAATGCTCTTTCCTCAAAAGCTCAGGCCTCGTCTGTTGAGCAGTATACTTGAAGAGCAGTTGGATGAAGAGACCCCCAAAATCTGTCAGTTTGGAGCATTGTGCTCCCTTCAGGGGAGACTTCAGCTGCTCCTCTCCTCAGAACAGTTCATCACAGGACTGATTAGGATCATGAAGCATGAGAATGATAATGCTTTCCTGGCCAATGAAGAAAAAGCCATAAGACTTTGCAAAGCCCTTAGAGAAGGATTAAAGGTATCCTGTTTTGAAAAGCTTCAGACAACATTAAGAGTTAAAGGTTTTAATCCCATTCCCCACAGCAGAAGCGAAACATTTGCTTTTCTGAAAAGGTTTGGCAATGCTGTTATCCTCCTATACATTCAACATTCAGACAGTAAAGACATTAATTTCCTGTTAGCCTTAGCAATGACCCTGAAATCAGCCACTGACAACTTGATTTCCGACACTTCCTATTTAATTGCTATGCTGGGATGCAATGATATTTACAGGATCAGTGAGAAGCTAGACAGTTTAGGGGTAAAATACGACTCATCAGAGCCATCAAAGCTGGAACTTCCCATGCCTGGCACGCCAATACCTGCTGAAATTCACTATACTCTCCTTATGGATCCAATGAATGTTTTTTATCCAGGAGAGTATGTTGGGTACCTGGTGGATGCGGAAGGTGGTGACATCTATGGATCATACCAGCCAACATACACATATGCAATTATTGTGCAAGAAGTTGAGAGAGAAGACTCTGACAATTCTAGCTTTCTAGGGAAGATATATCAGATCGACATTGGTTATAGCGAATATAAAATAGTCAGCTCTCTCGATCTGTATAAGTTCTCCAGGCCTGATGAAAGCTCCCAGAACAGAGACAGTGCCCCTTCGACACCAACCAGCCCCACAGAATTCCTTACCCCTGGACTGAGAAGCATTCCCCCACTTTTCCCTGGCAGAGAGAGCCACAAGACTTCATCTTCAAAGCATCATTCCCCCAAAAAGCTCAAGGTAAATTCTTTACCAGAGATCTTAAAAGAAGTAACATCGGTGGTGGAACAAGCCTGGAAACTTCCAGAATCAGAACGGAAAAAGATAATTAGACGGTTGTATTTGAAGTGGCACCCTGACAAAAATCCAGAGAATCATGACATTGCTAATGAAGTCTTTAAACATTTGCAGAATGAGATCAACAGGTTAGAAAAACAAGCCTTTCTAGATCAGAATGCTGACAGAGCCTCTAGGAGAACATTTTCAACCTCAGCGTCTCGATTTCAGTCAGACAAGTACTCCTTTCAGAGGTTTTATACTTCGTGGAATCAAGAAGCCACAAGCCACAAATCTGAAAGACAACAACAAAACAAAGAAAAGTGCCCTCCATCATCTGGACAGACTTATTCCCAGCGATTCTTTGTTCCTCCTACTTTCAAGTCTGTTGGTAATCCAGTGGAAGCACGGAGGTGGTTGAGACAGGCCAGAGCAAATTTTTCAGCTGCCAGAAATGACCTTCACAAGAATGCCAATGAATGGGTGTGTTTTAAATGCTATCTTTCTACCAAGTTGGCTTTGATCGCAGCCGACTATGCTGTGAGAGGCAAGTCTGACAAGGATGTAAAGCCAACTGCGCTTGCACAGAAAATAGAGGAATACAGTCAGCAACTTGAAGGACTGACAAATGATGTGCACACATTGGAAGCTTACGGCGTAGACAGTTTAAAAACCAGATACCCGGATTTACTCCCTTTCCCACAGATCCCAAATGACAGGTTCACTTCTGAGGTTGCCATGAGGGTGATGGAATGCACTGCCTGTATCATAATCAAACTTGAAAATTTCATACAACAAAAAGTGTGAAAGTACTTAAAGAAAACTTAAAAATAGCAGAGCCAGATCTTGAATGTGTTGTAGCACAAATAGGAATTTGCTGTACTCCATTAAGCTTCATTGCCTAGGAATTGTGAAGCACATTGCAGAATGTTGTAAAAGAATTGTGGAGTTGGTGTGACTTTGTGTCCCTGTAGGAAGCTCAAAGAAAATTCTCTTGAAGATGGTAGTGAGCTGCAACATTGCTAGCTGTGTTTGAATGATGAAGATGGCACACTACTGAACTGCACTTTACCCAACCAAAGCTTAGCAGTTTGCCAGATGTCTGCTTAAGATGGAATGAGTTTTATGTTCTAGCCATGGTGTTTTTGAAGGAGCAAAAATGAAACACTGTGTGTTACTGGTTTGTATTGGTTTGAGTAAACAGGGGAGTCAGGTAGGTCTTTGGAGCTTTTTTGTTTTAAATCATATCCTCTTGGATGCATTATTTTCTCATCAGCTGGACCTGATGAATTTGTTGTAATTGTTCATCTTGAATACTTAGTGCATTTAAAAATGGTACAGTATTTTAATCCTATTACTTGATAACAGTATGAAGACAGTCCTGAGGGTGCACTGAGTGCACTTTACATCTTTTTTTTTTTTTTTTTTTTAATGCCGGAACTGGGGTAGGCCTTGAGTTCTCCCTTAGCTTTCTTGCTCAAAGCTGGTGTCCTACCACTTGAGCCACAACTCCATTTCTGGCTTTTTGCTGGTTAGAAATAAGAGTCTCGTGGGCTTTTATTCCCCAAGCTGGCTTGGAACTGTGATCCTCAGATCTCAGCCTCCTGAGTAGCTAGGATTACAGGCATGAGCCACCAGCTGGCTACATTTTTATTTTAACTGGTTTTTACATGTATGTTTACAGGCTTCCCGTTTAAAAAGACAACACATGGTGGTCATCACCAGATGTTTATGCCATTTCTACAGACTGCTTACCCACAAGACATTTGTCATTGCTGAGAACAGTGCTTTTGTGTTTGCGTGTACCTATGTGTACTTATTTTTCACAAATGTCATGATTTATAATGTGGCTGAACAGGATGCAATCTTTTCTTGTCTAAAGGTGCTGCTGTTAAAAAAAGATTTTTTTTGTCTTTAGTATGACATTTCATTTTACTTTAAAAGCATTAAACACTTGTGAAGGTCATTGAGGTGATGGCCATTAGTTTATAATAGGTAGTTGTATTTTCCCCCCGAGAATGATTCAGAGCTGACATTTAGTTTTTATCATGCTCAGGTATCTGGACACACAACATATTTCTTTTGTAGGAAGGAAATTATAACTAGTTTATGTTACATGTACTGGCTGTAAATGATGCTAAGTATAAATTATGCAATTAAGGGCTTATAGAACATGTTAAAACTTTTTTTTTACTTTTATTGGAATCAAGGAATGTTTGAGCCTTCACAACTATATTGCTTCTGGATATGAAATACTGTAATTATTTCTGCTTCTATATTAAGTGCCAGGGTTTTAATAAACAGAATGTACATATAAAATCATGGTAACTGGTATTTCTTGAGAAACAGTTCATTGGAAATCAAGCTTTGTCTTATGTTTTTATGCTGGAATGTTAGGTTTCTTATTCATGATTAATTTAACCTAAAGTACATGGTATATATTAGGCTCATTAGCTATTCATTGATGGAATTCAATGATTTTTTTTTTTACCTTTTTAGGGAATAAAGTTAGTGAACTTCAGCTGCATTGGTTTCTTTTCCTTGGGATAGCTACTGCATGTCTGGGGCTAATTCACAGAGGCTCTAATTGAGGAAATCTTCCTTACATGGCACAAGGCCCCTTCCCTACCCGTCCCCTCTTCACCTTCCCCACTCCCCTGAGCTGAGCAGATGAGTCTGAGGTCCCTCTTTTGGGGCTATGAAAATGACTCTTCAGCTTTATTTTAAAAGTGCCAAGTTGATGCTCAAGTTTAGCGCTCAGAATATAATTTAATTACCCTTCAATGTTATTTTTTTTTGCAGGGGGTGCTACTGGTCCTAGGGCTTAATTGAAGGCCTAGGCACTGTCTCTGAGCTTTTTTGCTCAAGATTAGTACCCTACCATTTGAACCACAGCTCCACTTCCCTTTTTTTTTGTAGTTAATTTGAAGATAAGAATCTCACAGGGTTGCCTGCCCAAGCTGGCTTTAAACTGCGAGCCTCAGATCTCAGCCTCCTAAGTAGCTAGGATTACAAGGCATGAGCCATTAGTGCTTGTCTCTGAGCTGAAATTTACACAGAAAACTTTATCTGGCCTTGATGACAGTTGATCTAGTTGGAATTCTATGTTTTTCTAAACTTTTACAGAAATAACACAGGCTCACAATCCCTTATATGTAACACTTGGATCCAGTTGTGTTTCAGAGGTTAATTTTTATGAAGTGAATGGCATAAAACTTTCTTTTGGAGCAGATGGAAGAGTGGCTCTGGAGTTAGGACTTAGAGCCTCACATTTGCTAGCTCTTTTGCTTTAGTTACTTCCAGATAAACAATATGCCTTGCCCGCCAGGCTTCAGAATGCAGTCCTCCTACCTTTGACACAGCTGGAATTGCCGATCTTGTTTTTTCATTAGTTTTTTTGCTCAGGCTAACCATGTTCTTCCTGTCTGTGCCTCCCAAGGAGCTGGGATTACAGGTGTGTGCCACTAGGAAAAAGCTAAATATTGGGGGGGACAATATTGGAGTTTTGTACTGAGATCCTTGCACTAGCTAGACAAATACCCTGCCACTTGAGCCATATCTCTACCTCCAGGACACAAATTTTTAGTGAAACATTTTGCCAGGGTTAGCAACATCTTGCAGTCAGACACTTTAATACTTCTTAAGCCCTTGAATAGCCCCAGTTAATATTACCTCATCAGTACAACAGGATGGGGAGCCACAAAGGCTAAGAGCCCAAGAATGACAAAAATCAGGAAAAGGTGGGAACTCTTCCACCTGTGCCAGTTGACATTTTCTAGATCTTTGGATCCACATTCTGGGTTCCACAGACAAACAGCCAGCAGCAGAGATTTGTTGTCAAGCATTGCCTTGTGATTGCAAGCTGAAGTCCAGAGCCTAGCGGTCACGCCCACAGGCTTGAAACTGTAGGAGCTCAAGTCTACAGGTGGAATTTCTTAAGACAGGCTTCCATTTTCCCCCTATTTGTCTATAATTTCATGTGGTGTCATTGCATTTGTTCAAGCCAAAAACCAAAACCGAACTCTGAGCATATTGTAGGCATTGTGTATGTTAGATTCTGAGGTGGTCACTTTCTGTTTGAAGTTGGGTCCAACTACAACCTGGTGTAATTTATTTACTCTATAAAACCAGTATATTTATATTCAGAAGTGAAATAAGAGTTAAATTTTAGTTGAAAAATATTAGAATATAAAATGTATCTCTTTTTTTAGGGGGTCGGAGAAAAGGGGGATTCCTGGGACTTGAAATCAGGACCTGGGCTCTGTCCTTGAGATTTTTTTTTCAAGGCTAGCACTATTTAACCCTTGAGTCACTGCTCAACTTCTGGCTTTTTGGTGGTTAATTGGAGATTAAGAGTCTCACAGACTTTCCTGTCTTGATTAGCTTCAAACCTCAAACCTCAGATCTCCACTTCCTGAGTAGTTAGGATTACAGGCGTGAGCCACTGCCCCTAACTATATCTCTCTTTTATAGTTGTAAGTGTTGTGGAATTACCTACAATTCTCCCAGCTTTCCACAGACAGCTGACATGACTATATTTTAAGCAGACTTTCCACTTAGCCTGCCTCACAGTCTACTGTTTGGACCTGTTGCTTTCTACTTGACACAAGATTCATTTGGCTTCATCCCACTTTTGGCTTTTTGATGGCTGGAGATGAGTCTCATGAATTTTCCTGCCTAGGATAGCTTTGATCCTCAGTTCTTAGCCTCTGTTTCTTAGTTGGTTCATTCATTGGTAAGAAATATTTCTGCAAGATCAAGAATAGTCCATGATCATTCAGTATGGTAGAAGCTATCAGTCTATACCTCAGTAATTAGGCCTATTTGCAACATGACTCTTAATCTGCAGCGGCAGTTTAAATTGTGAAATGCACTTACAGGTTAAAATATGGCCCATCTAAATGTTTTCTTCTATTGAAGGAGGAAGTTCTTATCATTGGAGAATTCGCCCTACATTATCTTTAAAGCTGACTCTATTGGGGAAGGAGAAGGAAAAAAAAGGGATTTGAACTTTTTATTCAAATGTTTAATTCTCCATACTTGCTTGGTTGTTGTTAGTGACCTCTCTAGCATCAGAGCATCATTCTTTGGACAACTACCACCACAACTAAATTGCTTAATGTGCAGGGATTCTGTGTTAGGTCACCTGGGCTTGAAGACAATTGGCACAAATATGGAACAGGAAAATTGATATGACAAAATAGCAGATTGGCTGGGTGCTGGTGGCTCATGCCAGTACTTCTAGCTATTCAGGAGGATCTGGCTTCAAAGCCAGCTTGGGCAGGAAAGTCCATGAGACTCTTATCTCCAATTAACCAGCAGCAAGCTGGAAGTGGAGCTGTGGCTCAAGTGATAGAGAACTAGCCTTGTGCAGAAAAAAATCCTCAGAGACAGTGCCCAGGCCCTGAGTTCAAGCCACAGGACCAACACAAAAGAACAAAAGCAGATTTATTACATTAGAAGAACTGTCACTGTCAGAAAGCACTCGTTAGTTTTTTATCAAGATTTAAATGGGAAAAGTGGGTATCACCCAAGCCCCAGCAAAACTAGGAGCATTAGGTTTCTCTTAGCAGTTTAGAAAGCACTATTTCCATCTTGCAATCTCATGTTGAGGTATGTATAGTTGACTTTAAAATCAGGGAGTCATTATAAATGAGTTCTGCTGTTTGATGAACACACTGTTAAAGCAGCAATAGTAGAGTTCCCTTTCCTCTTTCCCAATTATAAGCCAACAGTGAGTTTGAGTTGTGTTATACTTGGAAATGCTACGGTTAGAAAGCTGCAGGCTGCTATTCTCATACATCTGGAACTAATTTGGGATTCTTAGGATAAGATCTGGCCAAACAAAATATATCCTCCAGCTTTCCTTTTTTTCTTTTCTTTTTTGGTAACAGTACTAGGTCTTGAACTCAGAGCCTGGTCACTGTTGCTTAGCTTTTTTTTCTCAAGTCTATTATTTTAGCCACAGCTCTCATTCTAGCTTTCTGCTGGCTAACTGGAGATAGTCTCTTGGACTTTTCTGCCCAGGCTGGCTTTGAACCTCGAAGCTTAGATCTCAGCCTCCTAATTACCTAGACTACAGGTGTGAGCCATCAGTACCTGGCTCCCTCCCACTCTTTTACAAAACCAGTGAGTGACCTACAGCAAAATGTATTTCCCTAGGCTCCATGTTTGATTTACATTACCCAGCTTCCCTGCAGCTGCATCTGGCCTGGGTCTGTGGGGCAGAAGGAAGCACATGGCTGAGCAACTGAACCAAGCAGGTCAGCCATTTGACATCAACAGGTGAAACCCTTTGGGCTACATTTTCTTCACTTAAATCAGTGTTACTGTCTGTATTTGTCACATTGTTTGGTATTTGGGTAGACTGAGACTGTATAAATGCTTTTTCCATCCAGGCACCAGTGGCTCATGCCACTGGCTGAGATCTGAGGATTATGGTTTGAAGCCAGTTTGGGCAGGAAAGTCTGTGAGACTCTTATCTCCAAGTAACCACCAGAAAACTAGAAGTGACACTGAGGCTCAAAGTGGTATATCTCTAGCCTTGAATGGAAAAAGCTCTGAGACAGAGCCCAGGGCCTGAGTTATGACTGCCAAAAAATACGTAAGTAAAATTAAAAAAAAAGGTTTTCCAACTGCAAATGACTAAATTTAGGGTGACATTTGGGGTTAATTTCAGTAGTACCTGTCACCTTATCAAGTAGTATTACATGAATCTTGTCACAGTCACTTGGGAGAAAAATAATGCCTAACTCAGAGGGCTGTAAGGATGAAAGGAAGTTAAGACTCTTACAAACAAAGGTGTAAAACAAAGGTTAGCTTTATTGCTCATTGACTACATAGAAAGCATGATTCATTTTATGTCATTTACCCAGGGAATACCAGATCAAATTCTAAACCTGAAGATTTTCCTGTAACACCCAACACGCTGACTTATACTAAAGGGAGAAATAATACCTTGGGCCCATTTCTGTTTTGTTGTTTTATTAGTGCCAGTCATGGGGTTTGAACTCCGGCCTGGGTCCTGTCCCGTCCCTGAGCTTTTGTGGTCAAGGCTAGCACTCAGTCACTTGAGCCACAGCTCCATTTCCAGCCTTTTTGGGGAAGTTAGAGATAACAGTCTCATATACTTTCTTGTCTGGGATGCCTTCAAACTGAGATCTTTAGATCTCATCCTCCTCTGAGTAGGATTATAGGCATGAGCCTCTGGCATTGGCACCCAGCCCTGGGCCCATTTCTGTATGAATCAGTGCTACTTTTGTGAAGTGTTAGATATCTGCTGTTAAATATCAGAAATTAATTCTACACAGCAACTCAACATTTCCTTGAACATTGACTTTGTGGGAGGGAGGCTAGGAAGAGGAAAGTCACCGTGTTTTTTATGAAAAGCAGCCAATCATGTAAAGCAATTAACACTCTTGACGTTGCTTTGCTTTTGTGTCTAATCCAGGCGTTTGAAGTCATGTTGTCTTGGCCAAACACTTACATTGGCACGTTTTGCTCTCTTGAGTTCTTTTGGAAAGTACATCCTTTCCCACATCTTGTCCCAGGCTTGCAGAATGTCTTTCTGGCCTCCTCTCCAAATGTAAAAACTCAAGGGCATACTTCTCAGCTTCCCAAACAAGACTGGTACTCTGAGGTAGACAGTGGCTCAGAGACAGATGTGACTGTGCTCCTGGCACGTGGTGCTCACACCAGCCATGGTCAGGTACAGCTTCCCATCTGGACATGCGCAGACCTCATACAGTTCCTGTGAGCTGCCAGAGGGGCCCCAGGTCCCCTGCCCCAGCTTGGGTAAGCACAGGGTTTCCGAATCAATCACAAGCTGTTTGGGGAAAGCGAGAGATGAACTGTTGAAGGAGGAAGGAACCAGAACCAATGAGAAATTCGTATCTTAAAATGTTTCACCAGTGGGGCACCAGTGACACAAGCCTAGAATCCCAGCTCCTCAGGAAGCTGAGATCTGAGCATCCTGATATAAATTCAAGAGAATTTCCATCTCCAATTAATCAGCAAAGAAAAGCTGGAAGGGGAGGTGTGGCTCAAGTGGTAGAACACCAGCCTTGAGCAAAAAAGCTAAATGATGTGAGGCCCTGAGTTCAAGTACTGGCAAATAAACAAAAAAGATGCCTCACCAAATCAGATCCTTACTTTAAGAAAACCTCTGTTCAATAAACTGAATTGATGTTCAGTTTTATGATGCTGTGCTCTTAATGCGTTTTGAATAATTTCACAAAAATAATCTTTTGCCATTGCACATTTATCTTGATACATTAAATCATCTAAATCATCTCATTAAGATGACATAATCTGAAGAAATAGATTTATCATACTTTTTACCTGTAAATATTGAAATGTATCCTGATTTTATTTATAATTTGTTTTCCTAGAAGAGACAACTAAATTCACCTTATTATCATCAACCATTTCCCTAATGTTTTAATATTATTTGGAACCCCTCATACTCTACTAGATACTGAAAGCATCAGGCACCAAGACAAATTATATGTTATTTTACTTATTTTTGAGCTGGTACTGGGGCTTGAACTCAGGGTCTCACACTCTTGTTTAGCTCCACTGCCAGCTTTTTCTTTTTTCCTTTTTTTCTGTTTAATTGGAGGTAAGAGTGTCCTGGATTTATCCACTCTAAACAGCTTTCAACCTCAGCCTCCTGACTAGCTAGGATTATAGGTATGAACCACCTGGTTAAGCCAATTTAAATACTATGAAAGCGACTCATTTTCTGAGCATACAAATGAACTAAAGGGAAATGTAAATCACAGAGGGAAACTTAGAGACTTTTTTGTTAATCCTCATACTAAGCCTCTAATCCTTAGCCACACTCACTTGTTAAAGGAACTAAAATTAGTGTGGGTAGACATCATTTTCTTCCTTGTGAACAAGGTTAGAGTCCCTCCCCCACCAACCTTTAATTTCTATGGCTCTCATTCAGGAATTCCTGTCCTTTAAAAAAAAAAAACAGCTATGTTTCCTTAGTTATACAGAGGAGAAGTTCATTGTTACATTTCCAGGGAATTCTGGTCTATTGATGAGCAGTAGAATTCTGTCCACGGAATTCTATAGAATTCCAGTCTAACTGCTCCTGCTGTCCCTGCCTGTCAAGTGCAAGCAGGAAGCCATAGCAGCATGCTGGGCAGAGCTTGGCCTGTGGGAGGGATGTAGACACAGAGAATATAAAATCCAGTGAGTATCATTTAAAATGTGGAATGCCAGCCAGGTGTCAGTGGCTTACACCTGTAATCCCAGCTACTCAGGAGGCTGAGATCTGAGGATTGCATGTTCAAAGCAGCCTGGGCACTTAAGCCATGAGACTCATTATCTCCAATAAACCACTCAGAAAACTGGAAGTGGTGCTGTGGCTCAAGTGGTAGAGAGCTGCCTTGAGCTGAAGAGCTGAGGGACAGTGGCATTGCCTACTTACAGCTCTGGCTTTTAACTTGTTGGTCTGTGCCCTATCCTTGTTTGTGATTGGTCTTTTTTTTTTCTGCTTGCCAATTCTTTGTGTGCGTGCGTGCGTGCGTGCGTGCGTGTGTGTGTGTATACCTGTGGCCTTTGAGCTTGCTCAAATAGCTGGTGCTCTACCACTTGAGCCATAGCTTCACTTCTGGCTTTTCTGGTAGTAAATTGAAGATAAATATCTTACAGACTTGGCTGTCCAGGCTGGCTTCAAACTGTGAGCCTCAGATCTCAATCTCTTGATTAGCTAGGATTATAGGGATGAGCCACCAGCCTCTGGATTTGCTGATTCTTTTCCTATCCAACTGGCCACTGGCAGCCACATTTTCATTTGCCTTTCTGGGACAATATTTGGAGTTTAGACATCTATTGACATTTTGAACAAATAGTTCCTAGGGATAAGGAATATCAACTTTTAATTATGGACCTGGCTGTGTGCTACTTGTAAAGATGTTGTAGAAGTAAGTTGCAGAAATAAGTAAAACCATTTCAAAATTCATTTTTAAGTGTGTAGTGACATAACTTAGTGATGTTCCACAAGGCTGATTTCCATTTCTGCCTTTATTTGCTCCTGACATCGTAGCCTGGTGGGTTAAACTTGCAGTCTTCTCCAGGTGCAGCTAAGCCCTACATCCATGGCACTGTGCTTTCGGAGAGGGCTCAGAAGATCCAGATTTGACCCTCTCCTTTCCCTTTCCTTTCCTTCCCTTTACACTTTTGTTTTGCTTTTGCCTGCCTGCCTGCCT